ACGTTTCAGCCGGAATGTAACACTAGTCGCTAGTCATAGCCAACACAAGCTTACTGAATTCTCGCAAGACCACTCCAAGTCGCGGCCATGGAAAACTTTACTTGTCTACGAGATTTTCTCACACTTCGAACGGCACAAGTAGCTTCCAAATCTACCGACTCGTAACTGGAGGAGACATCCACCCAAACCCCGGACCTACAACGAAAACGTCCAAACATCCCTGCAAAGAGTGTGGCGAATGCGTGCATTCCAATCAAGATTCCCTACTGTGTGTTCAGTGTAATTCCTTCTCGCACACTAAATGCCTGAACTAACAAAAGCGATGTTTAAAAGCTACTCAGATAATCAGGTCATGGACTGGAAATGCTCGCTATGCTCCTTACCATTTAGTAATGGGGATTGTTCTTTATATAAAAATCTGCGTTACGAAGTTTAGCAGATATTTGTTTTCTGCACGTTCTGTTTAGAATGTGGTCCTCCCTAAGTACGTATTCCGGTATGTCTCTTGTGTGTAGTTATTTGCATAGTGGTATATAAGTTTGAGGTTAACTGGTATTCATCCTTCGGGTTGTGAACGCCATCGCAAACAGAACTTTAATTTTGCGTTGTTTATCTTATAGTGCGGGGAGTTTGGCCATTTGAGCGCCTTCTGTTCTAAGCCGTCTGTTGCGCCAAAGAGTGACTCGCGCCTTTCTTGACTAGACGTGGATTCAAGCTCAGAGAACGTTCTTCGGCATTCAGTTGAGTTCGATTTTTCTTCCTTGTTTTTGGGTAGTTACGACGATTTTAATGTTAAAAGCACTAGGAGCGGTGTCAAGGGTCGTTTGAGCGCCTCTATTGAATTTTGGAAGAGTACCTTGAATGCTCCTGAATTCGTGCTTGACACCATCAGACGTGGGTACAGGCTTCCTTTCGCGGAATATCCGCCCTCGTGTTTTTTGGCTAATAATAGATCGGCCTTTCAGCATTCTGAATTTGTGACACAAGCCATCTCGGAGCTTTTAGCCAATGGTTGCATTATTGAGCACAGTGTTCCGCAATTTTGCGTTAACCTCTTGTCAGTTGCTAAAGGGAAGAAGCTGCGCTTTGTCATCGATCTCAGACACGTTAACAGCTTCCTTGTGAGGTTTAAATTTAAGTACGAGGATCTTCGCTCCCTATCTGAAGTCCTCGAGGAGGGGCACTGGTTCTTTACATGGGACCTTAAGTCCGGATATCATCATGTTGATATCTGCTTGGAGCATCAGAGGTATCTCGGTTCTTCTTGGCAGTTCAACAGCGTGCCAAGATATTTTACCTTCGTAGTTTTGCCCTTCGGCCTTAGGAGCGCCTGGTTTTGCCTCACCAAATTGTTGCATCCGTTAGTCTGTCACTGGCGCTCTATGAGTCACAATAGCTTTATTTATCTCGACGATGGGCTCGGAAGTCTACCGGATAAGTGTTCCGCCGCAGCAGCTGCCATTATCCAAAAGAAAGAGCTCGACT